CCCAGCCCTCCAACCCTCAGGCCTTCATATCTTACACCGCACACGGACATTACAGCTTATAGAATAATCAGAACTTGAATGAGGAAAAGTACAAACAGACGTCAAATAGAGTTACACAGGGAAACTCTCTGAGCCAATCATGGATAAGTCCAGGCTTGCTTCTGACCTGGTTGGGCCAAGTAGGACAGATATGCCATGTCATGATGAATCAGGCTATGCCTTCTGGGCTGAAAGTTCCAGAAACTGCTCGCTTACACTAACCCAGGCTTGAAGATACCACCACCCTTGACTCAACGTGGTGTTTCTAGCCAGGGAGGTTTAGCAGGACTTCCTCCTGTCCAGGACAATAGTGATCTGTGGGTACTGAAGGGAAATGTTCTGGGCCCTGGTGCCCCCTGTTTTGTGGTTCTCAACCCACCAGGGGACACAGGGTTTGTTTTCTCCCTACAACAGCAGCAATGCCTCCAAAATGGCTTTAGGTAATGTCCTTGAGGTCAAACTGCCCAATTCAGATTCCATGTCTGTGACCTGAGCAAGCTACCCAAGGAACACAGGGAAGGGGACATTGAGACAAAGACGGACAGGAGACCTCTGTGAACATCCAGTGTCCTTACTGAACTGTGCATCAGAGTTCCCTTGAACAAGGCTGAAGCTAGAGTCTTTCTTGCCCTATATGTCTGGAAGCAGAGACTTTGACAACAACAAGCAGCCTTCCATGGATAAGACTGTGGGGCCAGGGCCAGGGTGCTTTCTTGGGCTTGAGTGCAGCCTCCACCCCTCTCATTAGCAGTAGTGTGAGCACAAGGATGGCATCTCAAGCCCCACAACAGGATGTAGGTCAATGCAGGTTAATCTGTAGGTCAAGGTGGGGTCCTGGCAGCCCATTAAAGCAGGGGTGGATGAGGATGAGGACTCAGGCACAAAGTACTCTTAGTTACAGATGGCATTTACATGTGGATAGCTAGGATTTGCAAAAGCGAACAGAGAGGTTTGACTGCCAGCTATCTGAATTCCTTTCAAACTTGTCATCTATCAGGTTCCCCATCATACACAGGATGTCCTGCACATCCCTGAGTGTTCCTCCCACCCACATCCCTCTGTGTACACCAAAAGTCATTTCGAAGCCAAGACCTGATGACCACTGAAGCCTCAGACCCCTTCTGAGTGGAGGTCTCACTAGAGACAGAAGGCTACAAGTCTTACCACTCTGTCCACTGCGCCTCGGACACAGGCTCCTGTCTCCATATGCTCACATGGACCTGGAGGTTCCTTGCAGGAGGTGAAACCAGGGCCTGAGTGGTACAAGCATCATTGTGGATACTTCTCCCATAGTGGAGGTGACCTGGTGACAGATTCTATTGCACAGAATCAAATACTCTGTGTTAGTGTCTCTGGGAGTCCCCTGGGTCAAGGTCGGAGAGGGTAGTGTGTGCTGTTTGCCTGGCCTGCAGCCTCCCTGAAACTCGGAGACAATCAGACGCAACAGGAAGTCAAGTCAAGCAAGATCTCGTTTATTGTTTAACAGCAAAGTCCTCTTAAAGTAAAAACCACAGGGCAGGAAAGTATTACCCATTAATTTTAAAGGTATTCCTATTATGTATCTAGTGTCCTTTCCCTTCTTGGGCACGGTCTGCTAGTGTGATGACCTCATCTAGTGTGAGTTTGGGCAGCCAATTATTTTTCTTAGTAAACACTTGAAGCCTCTCCGTAGCTTCCCCCCAGCGCCATCTTGTAATGGTACCAGTCATCAGCTTGGGCCACTCCCTCTTCTGGTGGGACATGATCTATGCTCCTCCACAACTCTGAGCCAGGATGGCCTGTGGGCTGGGTGTGGTGTAATAGAGTGGGGAATCATTAGGTAAGACATGGCAGCCTTGAAGTTGTGTGTGGCCAGGTAGGTCTGCCCCATTTCCCAGAAAGGTAACAGTCTTCTATGCTGTTTATTAAATGTAGCTCTAAGCCCCAGATTGTATCCCAACAGTGAGATGAAAATTGCAACCTCTGACTGTTGCTATTTGCTTGTTTTCTCTAGCCCAGCTAGCCACATACACTTGGGTTTGCTTAGAGATTGTTTCCAGTAAAAATATTTTATTGAGATACAATTCACATACCATATATTTAACACACTTGAAGTATCTTCCTATTCCATTGTTTTCAGAAGTAGTTCTATCAACACAAATGAAACCCCGTGTGCCCCAAACCATGGCTCCTCAACCCCAACCCTTGGCAGCCACTAATCCACTTTACCATACATTTTTTTATCTTGAACTTTGATACAAATTGAACCATCAAGTGTGTCTTTTGTGCCTGGCATCTCTCGCATCACATTTTCAGGGTCCACTTACACTGGTTAGCTGACGATTTGGAATACTCCATCATATGAAAGACCACATTCTGTTTATGCTCCATGCATAGACGTAGGCGGAAGTCTCTGTCCCACAAGCCACTCTCAAGTAACTGACACAGAGACTTAATATTAATTGTAAATTCTGGGCCAATAGCTCAGGGTTGTTTCTAGCTAACTCTTTCTTTCAAATTAACCAGTATTTATCATCTATACTTTGCCACATGGCTCATGCATGGCTTGTTACCTCATTTTCTACACATCCTGCTTTCTCTGCCTCTCCTGTTGTCTGTACAGCTTCACCCTTCTTCTTCCCATCATTCTCAGTTTGGCTCTCCTGCCTAACTTTATCCTATTCAGCTATTGGTTAGTCAGCTTCTTTATTAAGACAACCACAGTGACAAATCTTGGTAGTGTACAAAAGGGTTATTCCACAGCACATAAAATCACTTTGGGCTATTTTGCCTCCTGAGGTAAAATCCTGTACAAGGTCTATGGAGACCTGCTTTCTCCAGCAGAGACCCACGCACGGAACTGTGGGGTCTGATAGTAACTCCACTGATTTGAGGGGCTACCAGATGTTCTCTGAGTGACTGGACCACTCTGCGTTCCCATCGGCAGTGTCTGAGAGTTCCAGATCCTTCATATTCTCACTGGCACTTGTTACTGTTGGACTCTATCTTACTATGTGGACTGTTCTTCAGAACTAAGGCGTTGTGTATGTATGAGAGAGAGACAGAGACAAGACAGACAAAGACAGAGAGAAAGACAAAGACAGAAAAGGAAAGAGCTATTTGTATACCTTCTTTCGTGGTATTGTGAATGAGATTTAAAAATTTTCATTTTCAGATTATTTCTTGAAAGTTAGAGATGAAATTGACTTTTGTATATTTATCTCATATCCTTCAATGTCACTGAATTAATTTTTCAGCTCTAATGTGTTCATTTATTTTAGTGGATTTTTTGGCTTTTCTGTACTCAAGGTCATGTCACCTGTGAATATACAATTAATTCTTTCCAAACTGGATTTATTTGTGTCTGCTCTGCTTGAATCTTCAGAACTTTTTTGATAGGAGTAACAAGGGCAGACCTGATTGTCTGGTCTTACTGGGGGTTGGGAGATGAGACAGGGTTTCTCTGTATAGCCCTGGCTATCCTAGAACTCACTCTATAGACGTGGCTGACTTTGAACTCAGAGACCTGTCTGCCTCTGCCTCCCAAGTACTGCCTCTGCCTCCCAAGAACCACCCTGTTCTAATCTTACTTTTGTTTTCTGTTTGTTTTTCGAGACAAGGTTTCTCTGTGTAACAGTTCTGGCTGTGCTGGAACTCACTCTGTAGACCAGCCTGGCCTCGAACTCACTAAGATTCACCTGCCTCTGTTTCCCAAGTGCTAGGATTTGATCTTACTTTTTAAATATGCTATTATTATGAATTATATTAATCAAGTTCAGGTGCTGAGTCAATCTTGCTTCCCTAACAAATCTTTCTCCATCATGTTTTTTTAAAAATTACTACATGTATCTAGTTATTGAGGGGAGGGCATTGTGCCATGACCCATTGGTGAAGGTTAACTTGAAGAAATTGGTTCTCTCCTTCCACCATGTGGGTCTTAGGAATCAAAACAAAGTCCTCAGTCTCGGTGGCAAATGCATGTACCTGATGAGCCATCTCAGAGAGGCCCTCTCTCATGGCTTCTGAGTCTCCTATCTGCTGCTGGGTTCCGTTTGTTACCACTTTAAGCTTTTATTGTTTCCTTTTTGTTTCTGAGATGGTCTTATGTAGCCTACTCTGGCCTCAAGATCAATATATAGTTGAGGATGGCCTTGAATCTCTGATCCTCCTGCCTCCACCTCCCAAGTGTTGGGGTTAGAGAGGCACACCGTCATGATTGGCTTTGTTTATCTTTATGCCTCTGTAGTTTTCCTAAGATCAAGCTGTCCGGGTTTTGTGTCTAAGTCAACAGAAGATCTCTTGTCATAGACGATGAAGACTTGGTGTTAATACTTAGAACGCTGGAGAATTCCTTGTATGGTCGTCTGAACTTGGGATCTGCGTGGGCAGATTGCTGACTTAATCTCCCAGCCACTGCCTCTTTCTCCAGGCTTGCTCTAGGTCTATTCAGATGCCCATTTCTGTTTTGCCATTTGAGAATTTGCCTGTTGTATCTAAATTACCCACCTGGCAGGCACATTATTCAGTGTGACCTATATATATCCTTTTCCTCCTTGGTGGCAGTAGCAGTGTCCCCACCTGCATTTCCTGTTCCAGTTGTATGAAATGTTTCGAGAATCGGCTTCTCAGGTCTGCCTTCTGTTTAGATATTCCTGTTCTAATTTCTATTGCCTCGTTTGGTGCACTGATTCCTTTTTCTCTCCTTTGCCCGGCTGTCTAAACGTGGAATGATAGTTATTCATGCCAAAGCCTTTTTTGTAGGCATCTCACCAATCAAATTAGAAGTGCTCAGTGGTCAGTGGTTCCAGGTTTTGAATGTCTTTCCAGTTTCCGGAATCAACCTGCTCACTAGCCCATATATGGAAATGATGTTAAATAAATCTTTAAATAAAAGGGTGGATCGGGCCTTTTCAGCCAAATTTTTCTATTATCTCCCGGTGCAAGGTCTGTATCCGCCAACCGGATATTCCTCTTCTCCTTAGGGCGAATGCTCCACAAAGTGCCGCAACCTGTTCGTGCTGGAGACAGTGTGCGTGGCCTGGTTCTCCTTCGAGTTCCTGCTGCGCTCCCTGCAGGCCGAGAGCAAGTGCGCCTTCCTGCGGACTCCGCTTGCCATCATCGACATCCTAGCCATCCTACCCTTCTACGTGTCGCTGCTCGCGGGGCTGGCGGCAGGGCCCACGGGCAGCAAGATGCTGGAGCGCGCGGGGCTGGTGCTGCGGGGGGCGCGGGGGCGCCCCCGCGCG